GGCCGTGTGGAATTTGTCGAGGGCTCACACGGCCAGGGGATAAAATCCACACAGCCGTGCGAGAATATGGCCTGGCCGTGTGAGCTGCTGGAGCCCCGAATTCAACCTGTTTTCACCCAAAAAACGACATTCGACTCTAGAACAACATCTCAATACTAAAAAACACAAAAAAAGGAAAAATGTAAGAAAATGCAAACCTCGGTGGGGTTGCCTCCCCACAAGCGCTTCTTTACCGTCTTTTAGCTGCACGCCAGTCGGTGGATGCTCAGTGAGGTGAAGGAGCAGGTGCCTTCAAGAGCGGATCCACCTCGCTCTTGAGGTACAGCTTCAAATGGTGGCCATGCACACGCCGAATGTGGCCACCAGCATTTGCCAACTCAACTTGGCCATCCGGCAGGATGCAAGCGAGTGAATACTCGGATGGCCAAGGTGGGGGCAGGACCAGCTCATAGTGGTCTCCGGCCTTCTTCCGAGCAGGCTTTACTGCCTGCTGTTTCGGCCGCCACTCCTCCCTGATTTGGTCCTTCGATGACGGAGTGGACGGGAGTGGCGGCGAAGGTATGGGAGGCGGATCCTGCAAAATAGGAAACACAGAAGGATACACGACAGACTCGTGCTCCCTGTGAGACACAACATGCAAAGGCGAAGAAGCAGGAAGAGTATTAGAAATTGAAAATGTTATTCGCTTCTCACCATCCCTCAAAACTAAGGTCCCATCATGCACATCTATGAGGGCCTTGGCGGTGGCCAGGAAAGGCCTTCCCAGTATCAATGGCACATCCACATCCTCATTTATGTCCAAAATCACAAAATCAACAGGATAATTGAATTTGCCAACTTTAACCAGAAGGTCTTCCACTATGCCCCTAGGATGCACGACAGATCGGTCAGCTAATTGAAGGCTCATCCTAGTAGCACGGGGTTCACCTAGGCCTAGTTTCTTGAATAATTTATATGGCATAACATTGATACTAGCACCTAAATCCGCCAAGGACCTCGCTACATGCAAATTCTCTATAGAGCACGGGATAGTAAAACTACTTGGGTCCTTCTGTTTCTGCGGAAGCTTGTTCTGCAGAATGGCCGAGCACTCCTCGCTGAGCTCCACAATGGCCAGCTCGCTCAGCTTCTGCTTCTTTGAGAGAAGATCCTTCAGGAACTTCGCATACTTAGGCATTTGAGAAAGTGCCTCCAGGAAGGGTACTTGGACATTCAGCTTCCTAAGCATGGCCATGAAGCTCTCGAAATCTGCCTCCAGCCTGTCTTTGTGCAACCGAGTAGGGAAGGGGAGTTTAGGGATATACTCCTTCACTACTGGTTGCGGTTTAGGTGCAGGCACCTCAACATCCTTCTCTGGTTCTTCTTCAGCTGCTGGAGATGCCGAGGCAGGGGCCTCTCTCTCTTGTGCCCGAGCAGGTGGATCAACAGTCATCTTGCCACTCCTGGTCATGATGGCATTGCAGTGCTCATTCGGGTTCTGAGGGTGAGGGATGGTCTGACCGGGCAAGGTACCAGGAGCCCTTTGCGCCACTGCTTGAGCCACACTCCCCAGCTGGGTTTGGATATCCTGCAAGACAGCCTGTGTGTTCCTCTGGCCAGCTTCAAGAGCCAGGAACTTACCCGAGGCCTTTTCCATGAACTGCTCTATAGTGTTGAATTTCTGAGCACTAGAACTGGCGAGAGAACCCACCAATTCCCGCAGTTCAGCCATCTGATCATTCTGCACTGGGGTGGCAGGGGCTGCACCTGGTTGCTGGAAAGGTCGCGGTTGTGATTGAGCAGCCTGCCCCTGCATGGGCTGGTAGAGAGACTGCTGCTGCTGATGGAATTTCCCCTGTCTGGGCTGATATGGCGGCCTCTGGAAGCCCGGTGGTCCCTGGTGGACTGGTGGTCTGGGATTTGCCCCACCCCATGAGAAGTTGGGATGCTAGCGCCACCCCTCATTGTAGGTGTTACTATAGGGGTCATTGCGCCTGACATTGTTGATGAAGTTCACTGGCTCCTGGGGTGTGGTCGATTCCTTCATCGCCTGGCAGTCTTCCACTGTATGATGGGTGCTCTCGCACCACTGGCAGAGCATCGCCTGCTGCTGTCCGGTACCTGCAATCATCCCGGAACGATCGATAGCTGAAACCAGCTTCGATACCACCTGCACCACGGCTTGGTGCTCTCCTCGACCTCCTAACAGTGCCCCAATCATACCCGTTCTTTGCCATCTCAAAGAGTTGATTCAGCTGTGGCGGTGTTTTGGTCAGCATGTTCCCGCCACAAACTGAGTCAATCAGCTGCTTGTCTTCTGGGAAGAGGGCATGATAGAAGGTTCCCACCTTGAAAGCATCGTTGAAACCATGACTGGGACACCTCAGGAAGAGACTGTTGTATCTCTCCCAAGCATCCCGGATGGTCTCATCTTCATCCTGGTTGAAGTGGGTGATCTGCTTCTGCAAGTCCGCCGTCTTCGACGGAGGATGGTAGCGGGTAAGGAACTTGTCCGCCAGGTTGGCGAACGTGGTGATGGAGCCCGGAGGTTGAGTGTCTAGCCACTCCTTGGCCTGCCCCTCCAGGGTGAATGGGAAGTACCTCAGCTGGATGGCATCTGCTGGGACCCCATTGATCTTGATTCCATCGATGAGCTCGTGGAATCGCCTGAGATGTGAACGAGGGCACTCCCCCTCTTTGCCACGGAACACCACTGAACCGCGCAGCATGGTGATTACTGAGGTGCTCACCTCAAAGTTGTTGGCTGGGACATGAGGGTGTTGAATGGGTGACCTCATGTCTGCAGCCCTGGCGGTCCAGTAATGTCCCATGGTCTGCTCCTCGGGATTGACCACATCATGGCCCTATGGATCAGCCATCTCCTCTTCTTCAGTGATCTGTAGCTGTGCTAGCGCCTCCTCCGCAGCCAGTCGCGCCTTTAGAACCCGCTTGAAGTTTCTGCAGGTTCGTTCAAGCTCCTGGTCTAGTGGTAGTAGATCTCCCGACTGGCTACGGGTCATGCACTACCTGCACACAATCAGCAGAAGCAACCCGTGAAGGCGCACAGGTGGAAGAGATAAAATGCAGTAAATAAAAAGCTAGAGTAACAAATTCTCACGTTTCCCCAATAACCTAGAGGGGTCCCCGGCAACGGCGCAAAGAACTTGATGCTCTAAAACACAACACCAATCTGCGACCAAGTGTAATCGCAGACCGGGAATGCAGTAAAGTGACAAGTGATATTATCAACCCGGGGTCTAGATCTACTGCTTACTCAGTGATTATCTATTATCTAGCCAACTAAAGTAAGTGATTGTTGTTTAAAAGCAAAAGCAGAAAGAAAGCAGGAATTGGTACGGTTTTCTCAAGCAAGTAAGAGTCACTCGGGAATGAGTCCCCTTAGCTCCTTAGTTAGGTTTCAATTGTATTTCCCTAGGTTGATTTACTGTTGATTATACTGCGGAAGATCCGACAGTAGCTTGGAATCTCTTAAGCTGACCAAGCCCTCTCGGTCTGACTACCCGGCAGACGACTAGTCTTCACCGGGATAGAAAGCTGAAGCAATAAGAACAGAACTCCACTACTGGAATTGGATTCCAGTACAAAGCAGTAAACTGGCTAACTCTCGTATAGCCAATCTCCTACTACCGAATGATGAGACTCTAGCAACCTAATCAGATTCTATCTATCTCAAATTGCAGCAGGATTCAGGAAAAGTTGATCAGACTTCAATTGAATCAATACACATGCATCATTCGATTAAAATCAAACAGTAATATCATCCCAAGTCATTACAATCAACCCCCTAACACATAGAACTAGGGTTCTTCATCCCCAAGTGAGAGAGGGGTTCTACTCCATAGAGAGAGAGAGGAAAACAAGGTACAAAGCAGTCATACTCATTACAATGGGAAGAATCTGCTCTGGGATGATGATTTCCACTCCTATGACGATCTCCAAGCTTGATTTGATGAAACCCAGCTCCAAGATAGCTTCTAGGATGTGTTCTTCGTACTGTCTCTCTCTAGGACTCTGTTTTTGCTCAAAAAGTCCGATCTTCTCACTTGTGGCTCGAGATTGGCTAAAAACCAAGATTTCCCGACTCACACGGGCAGGCCACACGACTGTGTGGCTCACCCACTTGCCCGTGTGAGTCAAAACGCGGCGTATCAATTAGTTCGATCTTCAGGCTTCCCACACGGCCAGGGTCGCACGGCCGTGTGGGATTTCCATCTTGCCCGTGTTTGCTCTCGACGAAAATCACACGGCCACAAATGTGAGTTGCACGGCCGTGTGATGTCCAGGAATGCCCGTGCGGCTTCCTTAGCACCTCGCCACGCGTCCGATTTTCGTCCAATCGACCCCAAACTCGCTCCCAAGCCTCCATTCACGTACTAGGACCTGAAATATGACAAACAAGCACAACCTAGCGTGAAATCGTCCTAAAACAAGAGAATCAACACCTCAAACGGTGTAAGAACAGGGGTAAAAACATGTGTAATTAACGGTCTATCAATAATTATCCTACCATGATTAATAATCAAAAACCCTAATAATAATATTTTTTAATATTCCTCACCGCTTGAGAACAACATTACCCTCAAGGTTGTAGGCAAGTCCAATCCTCCATACTTGAGATCGTCCCCATTGCCTCTAATGCTTCCTCTTCCTCCAAGTCCACGTTCTTTAAATCACATCCAACATTGGGCTTAATCCTTCACTGCAGATAGCACAAATGACGCCCACATTGCTCCCAAAATCTCGGCCCGTAGCCAAGCCCATGTGTGGCCCATTATGTTGTCTGAGCTACGACCCGATTCTTGGCCCAAACGGAGCCCAAATCACAAGATTTTTCGCCCAGTCGTCTGGTTTAGCTGGCTCAATATGAGAACCAAGCTTTTGTGGCCCATCTCCATCCTATGGATCACTCTCCCTGACCCATCAAAGTCTTGGCCCAATTGACTGGGACTCGTGGGTTGGGCTCCATCTACTGTTGGGCGGGACATGTAATTGCAGCCAGCTTAGGATTTGCTGATGGAAGGAACCCACTGCTGCCCCCTTCTTTCTTTTCCTTTTCCGGCAACTCTTTCAGCGACTAACCAACATCCCGACGAATGGAAGGCAAGCTCGTTGTCTTCAGATGAGTCTTCCCATCCATCATCGCCCCCATGATTGAAGTCACAATCGATTGTCGCGCCCCTAGCGCAATTCGATCCACCGACCTGAAACTCCAACAACTCCCTATCGCCTATTACTCCGATCTCCAGTCCGACGTCGCCAACAATGGGGTTTCCAAGGTTAGTGGCGCCTTCGGCACGATTCATGACTCCCACTAGACTTCTCGGTTGTCCGTGCCAAGGGATAGGAGACATTGTTGGCGTTTAGCTCCTGGAAATCTGCCCCTCCGCCAACTCCACACGAAACATTGGTGACTTCTCTTCAAGGCCCCTCTTGACGATTGTTCTTCCCTTCTTCTGTTTCTCATAACCAAGCCTAGCTTCGGTCCCACGCTTTTTCTTCATGAACTTCTGATTAACCCTGTCATACTTCCCCATTGAACCACTAATCATTAGGGGTGTACATGGGTCAGGTGGTCCGGGTTTAGGCATTTTAATCACCCGACCCATGCACTACGGTTTGGGAAATATTAAACCCAAACCCACCCAAAAAAATATAAACCCTACGGTTTGTTTCTAATTGGGTTGGGTCGGGTTGGCGATATTTTTAAGTAAAAACCCAACCCAACACAAAATATGTAATTATTCTACATCATAAAAATATTTTATAACAAATTAAAAATTCAAACGAATAAACCGAGGCGAAAGGTATCAAAATTCACAAATATTGTTTGAATTTTAATAAAACTTGATTTACTTCAACTTATGTGTAGTTTTTTCACGACATTTGTTGAAATAGGCTAAAAAGGTTACAAATGAACGCATCCATAATATGATATATTTTTTTAAAATTGTACACAAGAAAAAAAAAATTACGTAAATCATAGCTATATTAAATATATGTCTTAACTTTAAGTCTAAGAATGCATTAGATTAGTGAGACTTTAAGAGAAAAACATGGCGAAATATCTTAATTTTCTCATAAGTATGACTATATACGAGATAAATATTTTTTTTATATGAACTCATACCAATAATTGGAACACGGGTTGGGTCGGGTTCTACGGGTTGTGTAATCCAAAATCCAAACCCAACCCAAAAGAGGCGGGTTGTACAAAAGAAAACCTCACCCAACCCAAAACCTTCGATTTAGCGATAAATACGGGTGGGTTGGGTCGGGTTGGACGGGTGGGTCGGTTTTTGGTGTGTTTGTTCACCCCTACTAATCATGTGTCTGGTCTTTCCGGGGTTTACAGACCCCTCAGCGCATGCCTTTTTCATTCCAGTCAAGGGAATTGCAATCTCCAAAATTGCAACGATGGTGATCGATACTGCTTGTGATGCGGTGCTGTCATCTTCCGTCTCCACACATCAAACATCGTAGGTGGAGGTTTGACCTCCTTCGTCGTAACGGGGCTCTCTCCCGAGTCTTTTTCTTTGTTCGTCATAGGTGGATCAACCACCATGGGTGATTGTTCAACCACTGGAAGCAGTGTTGATGGTGATGCTGCAGCGGTGGTGGTGGATTGCTTGGTTCATCGTGGCGATTCTAAAGCCTATTCAAACTTCTCCGGCCACAACCACCACTCCTCCGCCCTCTTCTTGGTGCCCTCTACGAGTTTATCCAAGGCTTCTATTACTCGCTCGCAACGGGCTTTCAGGTTGTAGAGCTCATCCCCAGTTGAGAGTTGTGATGAACTCATATTCGCAACCGAGCTCTGATACCAAATGTGATAAACAAATTTTCTAATAGGTTTTCAAATTGGGATTGGCGTTAGGGAAATTAGGGATTATGGGATAGATATTGGAAATTTAGGGTTGAGGAAGACAAAATTAGGGATTAGGAGAAGAATTGGGAAGAATAGATAAAACGGCCGAAGCCTTTAGGGAATAAGGGTAGACGAGATAGAGAATAGTAGATTAGGATTTGAGAGATAACTTTCTTTTATTAGGTTCTTCTTAATCGAACAAAACCAAAAGTATATATTCATAGCTTAAGACTGGAAAAACCTAATAGACTATCCTAATATGACTCAAACACTACTAACCATAATTATAATTATCCTACCATGATTAGTAATTGAAAACCGTTAGAAAGAGAGCTGGTGACTAGGGTTTCGACGACCCACTGCCGTCGCGCCGGCATCTCCGCCGGTGCTTCTTCTTTTCTCCTTCTCTTCTATATTTCTTGAGTGATTTGATACCCATGGTGGTGTCGAATCCATCATCTCCTGAACTCCAGCTGACTAAGCCATGGGCGAGCCTCTTTGGGATTTTAGAAGCAAATTGCTTGTGCTATATCAAGCCAGAAGTGGTGAATGGTGGTTTGAGGATGACGAAGGCGGTTCGAGAGGAAGGCGCTGCTCGATGGAAACATTGTTTGGTTGGGCAATTTTTGCAGGAAATTCCTCCTCTGATGGTTCTTCGAAGATGGGCTAACAAAATTTGAGGCAGGGATGGTCAGGTTTGCGTTTCTCTTCTGTGTGATAATCTTCTTCTGATTTAATTGCCCTCACAGGGGACATGTGTTTGGATTCTTGAGAATGTCACGTGGTTTCATTTTGATAACTTGTTGTATCTCTGTCCCTAGGCTCCGGGCATAAGTGCCAAGGTTTTGGGCAGGAAAGCTTTGCTGATTTGGTTGCATCTATCCAATGTGCCTCTTGAGTATGTTAATTTCCAGGGTCTGAGCAGGATTGTAAGCTGGGTTTGAATCCTTTTGGGTGTGGATCATACCACGCGACTGGGTAGAAGGATGGGATTTGCAAAAGTGTTGGTTGAGTTGCAGACGAAGGGTCCTTTCCCAGAAACCGTTACAGTTTGGCCTGATGATGCTTCTCCAATTCAAGTGTAGGTTGAGTATTGTCTCTTCCACCAGTCTTCCATGTGTGCAAGTTTGTTTTGGTACGGAGTGTTGTGGTCTAGTCGCGGGCCAGCAAGTATGGGTTGTGAAAACTGTGAGTCAGATTGATCAAGCACACTGTCCTAATGATAAAGGAAAGGAGAAGTTGGTGCAGGATGAGGGGGTGGCCTCAATTTCCTCTCTGGTTCTTCTAACCAAGGCTATTCAAATCCAAGAAGTTCCTAAGAAGACCCCATCCCTGGACACTAATTCCAGAATCACTATAGGAGGGATTAATCTTGAGGTCTCTTTTCTCAGGCATCGTCTCCAAGGGCCTCATCTGAGGTAGCTTCTCCCCTGCTCCCTTCTGATGCTGAGTTTTAGAAAGTGGTCAATCGGGCAAGGCCTAGAATCTGGTCACTAGCCTCTAGTCCAACAAGTGTTCTCCATGTTTCTCCATCTTCCTTTAGTGTTCTTGTTGATCAAGATAGGGAAGGCGTCATTCAATTGCAAGCTACTCCTAAGAAGGGTCAAAAGAAGGCGGGTCCTAAGCCCCTTGCCTTTCCATGATTTGTTTGTTTTGGAGTGTGACGGGACTTTACACAAGTCCTGAGGTGGTTGAAGGTCAATGTGCTTGCAATTTTGGAAACATGTGTGCATCAAGCTAAGTCGGAGGAGATTTATGAGGATTTTCTAGTAGGATAGGAGAGGAATTTAAACTATTCTGATCTAGGTCGTATCTGGTTGTTCTGGAAACCTGAACTCAAGTTAAGAATCTTGAAACCAGGTACGAATTTCCTGCATACATTAATACAAGATCAGGTGGGAGACTCTTTCTTCTTAACTGTAGTATATGGGGAAAATGATGAATTGGAACACAGGGCTACCTATAACGAGATGAGTAGATTTAAAGTTGAGGACCATCCTTGGATAGTAGGGGGAGATTTCAATGCAGTTATGACTCCTAATGAGACTTCCAGTCACCTTCTTCCTACGTCTAGTATGTCTGACTTTCAGGGGTGGTGTAATACTATGGGTTAGAGAATTTTAATACTCTTGGTCCGGTTTATACTTGGTCAAATAATCAACAGATGAATCTGGTTGCTAAGTGACTTGACAAAGCACTGGTCAATGTCCCCTGGATGACTCTTTATCCAAACTGCACTATGGAATCTGTCCCAAGGGTATTCTCTGCTCATAGTGGTATCCTAGTGCAAGTGAAGCCGCTAGTGAAAACTCTGCCAAAGCCTTTTATGTACTTTGATTTCTGGAGTGATCATCCTGATTTTCTAAAAATTGTGGAGGAGGCCTGGTCTATTCAGTGTGTTGGTAGTTCATGGTATGTTGTGCAACACAAACTCAAGGAAGTCAAAAAAATCTCTCCAAAAATTGAATAAAGAGCACTATGCCAATATCAGTACTATGGTAAAGGAACTGGAGTTGAAGTTGTTGATAGTAATGGCAAACTGCCTCTATTTCCCTATAGCTGACAATATTCAGGAGAGGAAGAAGCTAAACAAGCAAATGAAGGATTGTACTGGCAGAAGTCTAGAGAAGAGGGACTGAACCGTGGAGATAGATGCACTCGTTATTTTCACAAATCAGTGAAGATTAGAATATCAAAAAGAGTTATACGACGAATCAATACTGAGGCATGAGAGACTATTACTGATGTTGATCTGGTAGCAGAAGAAGCAGTTAAGTTTTATAAAAAAAACTGTTTGGAGTGGCAAATGTTGAAGTGCAACATGATATTCAATTATCAAAAGAGGTAATACAGAAGCAGTTATCACCTGAGAGCAAGGAGTTGCTTTGTAAGAATGTCATTGCTGATGAAGTCCAAGAAACAGTTTTCCAAATGAATGTTCATAAGGCCCCGGGACCTGATGGGTTCTCCTCAGGGTTCTTTAAGAAGACTTGGCATATAGTTGGAGAGGATGTTACAAAAGGGGTTCTGAGTTTCTTTGAGGGAAGGAGGCTAATCAGTGGAGTCAATGCCACTGTTGTTGCACTAATTCCTAAGGTACTGAACGCTGAAACATCCAAAGAATTTCATCCTATTTCTTGTGTTAATGTACTCTATAAGATAGTTGCAAAAATCGTGGCAACGAGATTGAGTGAAGTATTGCTAAGTGTTATTAGTTTGAATCAAATGAAATTCATAAAGGGTAGACAGATTGTGGACAATATTATGCTTGCTCAAGAGTTGGTTAGTGAATATCATATGAAGCAGTTATCTTCAAGATGTGCGATTAAAATTGATATCATGAAAGCATTTGATTCTTTAAACTAGGATTATCTCTTCATGATTATGAGGTTAATGGAATTCCCGCTCGTTATTTGGATTGGATACAACTCGGTATTTCCCCAGCTAGATTCAACATATGTGTGAATGGGGGCATGAAAGGATTTT